AGGAGGAGGAGGAGGAGAGGAGGAAGAGGAGGAAGAGGAGGAGGAGGAGGAGGAGGAGGAGGAGGAGGAAGAGAAGGACAGGAAGAGGAGGAGGACGACGACGACGAAGACAAGGACAGGAAGAGGAGGAGGAGGAGGAGGAGTTGTGGAAGTCGTGTATGCTTACCAGAAAAAAAGAGGCAGAGAGGAGGCCTCCCGATTCGTAGCCAAAGACAGCGAACTCATGGACTCCAATACCCGCCTTGGAAGTGATAATGAATCTTCTTGATCTGTTCCCGAATTCCACATGATCAACAAGATAAGCTCAAGTTTTTTTTCATTTTTTTTATCTTCTTTCTTTTTCTTTGGGGGGGGAGGCGGAGAAATAAGGTAAAGGTTGTCGTATAGTTTGACAAACCGATTTGAAGAAGATTGCATCATTGCGCAGGCCAAGAAAACAGGTCATGAGTTCAAAATTCAACTCCTGATAGACAAAATAATATTTGAGGTTAACGTTTAACCCCTTTTTTATTAAAAAAAAAATAGTAATAAACAATCATAAAATCCAAAACATTTGAGAAGATAGCAGTATCTTATAGATGCAGATGCAGCACGTCATTTGAAGGCAAACTGGGTTTTTATCCGAGACCGGGAGCATACGAAGTATTACACAAACACTGCAGAAAAATTATCTGCATACAAAATCTTAAAACACTGCAGAAAAAACATACAAAATCTTACAAACACTGCAGAAAAAAATTATCAGCATGCAAAGTATCACTGACTCCTGCAGAGAAATTATCTGACATGTGGGCTCTTCAGAGTGTGAAATTGTAAACTATTACTCTAAAAAAAGGGGTGGAATCCTGCTAGGTTCACTAATGTTAAAAGCTAACCCCCCCTTCCCCCCCTCCCCCCCAAACCAACAGATTCAACAGAACCTTGTGGTCCTGGCTCCTTATCCATTCTGGGGAGCGCGAGTCCGGTTCCTTTCCACCAGCACCTTCGGCGGCAATAATAATACAGAATACAAGATTAACACACTCAATGCTTGCTTCCATCTCGGCCGAAGGACCCCTGACCAGCACTGATTGCTCCAACAGGAGAACTGACTGTCAGATTGCCTGTCCCTCTTGTTCCTCTCACTCCCAGCCATGGGTAAGAATGTCATATAGGTAACTCCAAGTCCAAAGCAAGAACTGGTGGGACCAGGATCTTTCGCTTTGGAGAGCTAGCTGGCCGTGTCATTGAATGAAATGTGAGCCAAAGTATGTTTTCCGCTTCTTCTCTTCGGCTTCAGGGGGCCGTTGGTTGATGACCTGTGGAGTGCCAATTCTTCCACCTCAAGGTGTCGTCGATAATGCACTTGATCTTGCCTCCTACTAGCCAATCCCTGTGGAAGGCCCTTTTCTTTGCTGCCGACTTCTCTGGTTTGAGCTTAGCTGATAGTTTCACCATAAGCCACCTGCACCGAATTTCGATTTGTCCCATTCTTAGCATCAGGCCCCATTCCTCTTCCCTTGCCACTCCTGCCTTCTTAATCGTCTGCGTGCATCTGTGTTTCCAAATGTTCCAAAGCGCCGGTTTTCTGAGTGACGGAACCAGATCGCCTTGCTGCCCTTCAGCCCGGGGGGGGGGGCGGTGTGTGTGTGGTGGGGTATACACATCTAGATGTGTATAAGAGACAGGTGGAATGTTGGTGAAGAGCAAGATAGATAGGGGAGTGATGTTAGGTGGTGGTGAGGAGAAGAGGGAGACCCAGAGCTCCATGATCTTATTCCAGATCCAGGAGGCTTTGGGGCACGTAAGCAGGCAGTGTATTGTGTATTACGTCTTCGGGAGCATTGTTAGTTCACATTGCACACAGATTTGCGCTGTCTGAGTCGGAGTGCTTTCTTCTTTCATGGAGCCATTGGTTTGATGCGCAGTGCTGCATATGCCAAGAGACATGGCATGCTTCGAACTTTGGTGGGTTTGATTGATTCACATTTTTTCCACAGGATCTCGAAGCCCGCATTGGGGTCCGAATTGAGGATTTTCCTCCATCGCATGGTTACTTCCGGTTCGGGTTCTGTTGTCTTTATGCCTAGTTCATAGCCGAATTTGACATCGAACTCCAAGATTGGTCTGGCCAGCAACCCCGAGAGCTCATGGTACGGCTTGTGACTTTGTGGGCAATCTGGAAAGAGAGATGTCGCATCGCGCTCAAACAACCAGAGATCAGAGAGAGAAAGTCTGGGCTTCTACGAAAGACTCAACAGAAGCTGAAATCAGGTGTAAACAGAAACAAAAGAAGACGCTAATGCACCAACAGTGAAATGAGAGCCAAGTACTCGTCAAGTTCAACCTCGCATACATCAATGAACATTCACATGAGAGTTCACACGTGAGAAGCCAAATCGAGATACAATCAACACTCGAAGATGTCGTCTCCAATATTATTATCAATATACAAGAATGTTTGTCTCCAGCAGCTCTGCCGCACACACGCGCACAACGGATCTCAACCAAATAGCGGCTATGGCTTTTCCCCTCTTCTCTCTCTCTCTCTCTCTCTCTCTCTCTCTCTCTCTCTCTCTCTCTCTCTCTCTCTCTCTCTCTCTCTCTCTCTCTCTCTCNCTCTCTCTCTCTCTCTCTCTCTCTCTCTCTCTCTCTCTCTCTACCCTGGATCATTACCCTGGATACACCCACTCAGGTAGCTTACACCTTGGCGGTTATGGCCGCCGTCCTCCTGCTCCACCGCTAGCCTTGCTATGGAGTATCTCTCAAGCGCCCTCTTCTTCTTTGGGCGCACAGTGCCCAAGTTGCCTTAACGCACAAGCAGCAGCAGCGCATTTGCATCTCGCAACTGAACAAGTGATGAGCCGCTGCACTGTAGCAGCTAAATATAGGACTTGGTTTCGCTGGGCTTGGCTTGGCTTGGCTTGGCCTGCTTCAGACCGGTACCAGTCGGCCGCGGCCTGTCTGCTGCAAACATTTTGTCGGTTCGGTAGCTTCCGGACTTTCCTGGGACATGCCGCAAAATTGGACTTGGGACTGTCGGACTGGACTGGAAGCTTCTGGACTTTTCTTGTCGGGTACCGGACGGACTCCTACCGACCTGCGACGCTTCGGTACCGACACCTACCAACCTACGATGCTTCGGCCTCCAGACCCTACAGCCTACACTACGGGACGGCCCTGGGACTTGGGACTTGTCGGGACCTTGGGACCGGGACTGGGTGTCTGCAGCATGAATCCTTGCAACAGGGCTAGCTCAGTCAGCACACATGAACTGTTGAAATACAGACCCAAGTTCGAATCCCGCAACAATCATATAAACAGAATAAAATAGTTTTGAATTACCTGGCGCCGATCCGTTCAATGATATCTCAAGGCCATCGGCCTTTAAAAAGGGGGGAAAAATAAAAAAAAAGGAAGGAAAAAAACAAAGACCTTGATGCAGTCAACGGTGGCGATTGTGGAAGAGGAAAGAAATGTCAATCCCAAGTTCGACGCAGATGGCTAGCCCACGGCGAAGCATGGCTACAATCAATGGCCCACTGGCACAACTCGAAGAAATCGAGCAGAGCACAATATCAGTAAACTCTCGGGGCGATCCGAAGATTCCGAGCCCAATGTGTGCATAAGGAGGGGTCAAGATTGCTACAGAGGAAGAGCACACCATGGAGTAGTGGAGGGTCTACAGACTCTATACCATTGTGGCTCGTAAGGAGTTCTGAAACCTCGAGTAGATCTGGCAGCCTATTCACATACACACTGAGAGGCGCTTCAGAAGGAAACGCCAGCCTGACAGTCTATATCCCCCTCCAAGGTGCAATCAATACCGTTTAGTGGTTCCTTCAGCCATAACGGAAGGCAGCGTTCAAAATTTGCCAGAGTATCGAGTTGTACTACATCTACGATTTGTCAGTCCTTCGGGACATCCGTTCAAATTGGAACGATACAGAAAAGATTAGCACGGCCCCTGCGCACGCATAAATCGAGAAAGGTCCAAATTTAAAAAAAAAAAAAAAAAAAAAAAAAAAAAATAAAAAAAAAAAAAAAAAAAAAAAAAAAAAAAAAAAAAAAAACATCTACGACTTGCCAGTGGAAAAGGAAATGGACTGACAATCTCCAGAATAGAATGAAGCCAGGGTCATAATGAACTGTTTAATCTATTTTTACTAATTTTTAGACCAAAAAAAGTGGGGGTCGATCAGCAGCATAGCGGCCACTGGCAATTGCAGCGTCAATGGTTGAGCGGGCAGATGGAGCCTGAGAAGGCAAGCGATATGCATGGGAGTAGGGAGTAGATGGGGTGGGAGTGTAAACAGTGGGGAAAGCAAGCAAGCAAGAAGATGACGAGCCAGGAAGATGACCCTGGCTGCAACTCAGCATGCCTGGAGGCTGAAGGAGGTGAATACCTGAACACTGCAGTCTTTCCCCGAATACAACGTATGGTCATTATAGATGAATTTAGACTGAAAGATACCCCAAATTCAGCTATAACGACCGTACGTTGTATTCAGAGGCAGACTGTAGACCCTAGCAAAATCAGTCTCATTTAATATCACACAGAGTGCCTTCACTTGAACTTCAGTTAAGCATCTCCCCTCTCAACATGCCCCTAATCCTATACCCAAGCCCTAAGCCTAAACCCTAATCCCTAACCCTAAACCCTAAACCCAAAGCCTGAACCGTAACCCTAAACCCTAAACCCCAACCCCAACCCTAACCCTAAGCCTTAACCTTAACCCTAAACCCTAGACCCCAGCTAGCACATAAGTGAAAAATGTTCGCTAACCTCGTAGAGATCGGGGTCACTTAAGCCACCAGTACACCCGGGGCTAAATGTACGAGCCTAAACTTGAATTTTGCCGACCCTGAAAGCAACCGGTACCACCACTTGGAAAATTGAGGTTGGTACTGCTACCAGCCGCTCTTGGATTGCGTGCTGTCCAGCACGGGCGTCACATGGAACGAAGGAGACGCCGCTGTTTTCAGTGTTTTCACTCATATGCCACCCAAAGCCGTCAGATTCGTCCAGGGCTAGTAGGAATTGTAGACACATACATTCAGGAAAGTGCAAGTGTGAGTATGCCCTCACTTCAAAGAAACGGCCTGACACAATGATTCGGCCTCCCGCCTCTCACGGCGTGGAGGCCGAGAAAAGTGACTTCAAAAAGGGCGTAAGAAAGAAAAGGTTAAAACAAAAGGGCAGACTGCGCTGCAACGTTTTCTACTACGCTCTGGACATGGCTGCAGGCAGATTCATCCACTCATCGCCGTACTTACAGTCAGATACATAGAGGAAAAGCGCTGGCGTTACAGTATGCCCTTCAAAGAAACGGCCCCACACTCTGATTCCATGGTCCCCGCCTCTCATGGCAGGGAAAAGTGACTTGTGAGCTCGGCAGACCCTTCTTTCCGAAAGAAATGAAAAGAAAAAATCAAGAAAATGAAGAGAAAAGAAACATGACAGGGAAGAATCGCCCTACGGCTTTTTCTACTATGGTAGCTCTGGACGTGATTGACATCAGATTCATCCAGGGCGGTCCACAATTGCAGTCAGATGCATTCACGTAGCTGTAGCCAGAGTATGGGGCCTCGCTGCACTACTCTCCAAATGTGCAAAATGAGAATGTATCTTCCGCTAGAACATGGAAAGATACACTGCCATATTTTTTGTCTTTTGTGCATGTGGAGAGTAGTGCAGCGAGGCCCTATGTCGTAGGGCTGGAGATTTCATTTTTCTTTTTTCCTTTCTCCTCTGGAGATTTGATTCGTTGGGCTAGAGACTCAAATCGCTTCAGTGCCCGCCTCTCACGGCAGGGAGGCAGGCACTGACAGGAGTGAGGGCACACTAACGCTAGGCCTTCTTTTTTTTTATGCTCTAGACATGATTGCTGTCAGATTCATCCAATCCTGGCCGTACTTGAAGCGAGATACGTTCATGGAAGTACGAGGTCAAGGGTCTCACGTTCTTTTTCTTTCCTTTTTTTGAATCCCCCGCAGTGTTTCGGCCTTGCACGCGTTTCCACATGGGCGGACACTCCTCAGCAAAACGAGTAGTCCAGTCGGCCTTCTCTGTTGGCCCCAACAGATTCCCCCCATCGCACTACCGGCCCTTCTCTGAGCCCAAAAGTGCTTCGTAGGCCACAAGATTCTTTTTCATCAAGACTGGGGCCGTGTTCTGGTGGTTTAAAAACTTTAAACTCAGTTGAAACTATCCCCTCTCAATACGTCCCTAAACCCTAAACCCTAAACCCTAAGCCCTCATACGAAACCCTTACCCTTTAGGCTAAGCCTTAACCCTTAAGACCATTGGGGCCCAACGTCGGCCAAGAACCGGGGCAGTGCACATGCTGGTCGGAGGGAGGGTTAGCCCCTACCGACCAAGGAGGGACCTCCCTCCAGAGCGGAGAAATTTTTAGCACTCGCCTTCGGCAATTTTTGGCACTTATTCCTTGTGGCAAAACTCCTGGGCAAAAATTAAGTGCCGTAGTCCTGAAAAAGAAAAGAGAAAGATTTAAGTGTCGATCGGATAAGGAAAAATATTACGAGAAAAACACAAGAACTGGACGTCCAGGAAACAAGTTCGAATAACGTCCTGCTTGCAAAACCAATCTTGGTATTCTTATGACCTCCTAATTGTAAACCACGTAAGCCCGACAGCTTTCCGTAACCTAAGCCTTTGATTCTCACTTCAACTGACTTAATTGAAGGTTAATTCCTAAAAAATTAATAGCAGCACGCGCTACATTCTCAGCAGTGGCACGCATATATTTGTGTCGTGCTGTAACCCGGTAGGCCAAAAACTTTAGGTTAAGTTCTCCGAAGTAGGGATTATCTCTTTTTTTTTCCCATTTTTCAAGGTTTTTTTTTTTTTTTTTTTGGGGGGGGGGGGGGGGGGGGGGGGGGGGGGGGTGAACCATGTTCCCCATTTATGTGTGCCATCCTTACCCCGGGGCCATGCTAATCCTCTTTCTCTGTATCGTTCCAAATTTAATGGATCACCCCAAGGGCTTTTCTTTAAACCTGACTTTTAGTTTTTTGTTTAACAAAATTGGGGTTCCAACTTTTCCCTCGATTTCTTTTCTTTTCTTTTCTTTTCTTTTGTTTGTTTTTTTTCCCCTCCGATATGATCTATATTATGCCTAGTCATCACAGTCACAAAGAAAGTCGTGAAAAACACAGCCAAAAAAATTTCCTTGCCGACTAGTACAAACAGTTGGTGCAAAGAGGAAAACATGTCAGTCTTAATGAAATGCCAGTTGAAAACCAACTGCAAGGAAGATGAGCAATAGCGAACTTCAGCAATCAAACAGCATCATACATATGAGTCCAGATAGTCGTGACCTTGAACCAACAGCAGAATTGCATCACGAGTTTCACCAAATAAGAACACACCAAGAGTTCATAATTGACAATGCTGAAATAATCCCATCATCATCATCAACGAAGAACCAGAGTTGATATCCTATCTGGCGCTCGGCACCCAGACTACATGTGGCAGATCCTATCTAGCCTATACTACAATGCCGAAGTTGACAACAACAGCTCTCCCGAAGTACGAGCAATGTCGCACACTTCCAGCACCAGGTATGTCTCTCGCCTTACTCACAACCTCGTTCCCCAACACACAGATGCCACTTGCACCCAAGGACCACCCTGCGCCACACCCAGCTTACAGCAGCGCAGCTCGGCTATGGCTGCCTGCTCCTTCCCTGCTCGCCCGTGAGCGCGTAGGCGCCAGCCAGCAAATAGCGCAGCAGCGCTTGCGCAGCATGCAGCCAGCACCCGAATGGCGAATGCGGAGGCAGGCCCTTTGCTATATCGAAGTGGCCTGCCTGCGTCCAGTCCCAGGAAGCTTCCAGTAGCCCCCGCAGTCTGAGGCCCAGCACGAAAGAGAACAGGCCTTGGGCCTGGGGTGGTTGCATGCGCCCAACTGCCTTTGGCCTGTGTTCGGCCCAGTACCCGTATCCAGCCCAGGGCCTGCTTTCCATACATTCACACAGGCAGCCCAGGGCCTGGGTTCTCTCAACCAACTGGCGCTGCGCAACTGCCTGAATTTCCTTGAGTTGCATGGTGACCAAAACAGGGCCCTGAGGGCCTCGTCAAGCCTGCCTTCACTTAGGGCGGCCGATTTGCTTCAGAATGGGGCCATAAGGGGCTCATAGCGGCATTGGCCTCGCACAACCAATAGGCTCCACAAAAAAATAAGCTCGCGGGCAGTGGCGGATTTTAGCCCTAAAGTTTACAGTGTTTATACATCCTGAACCCTATCCCCTAACCTGCACAGCTAACCGTAAACCCAAAACCCTAAACCCCACATGCCAAGCCTTACTACCAAGCCCTAAACCCTAACTAATATGATAGGTAAAATTTTAATTTATCCACACAACCGTTTGCTTAAACTTCCGCTCAATGTATACTCCCCCCTCAACAGGTCCCAAAACTGTGAACCACTCTCATCAGATCTCTAAACCAGAAACCCCAAACCCTAAACCCCTAAGCCTAACCCTAAACCATAAACCTTAAACCTAAACCGTAAACCCATCTCAACAGCTCCATAAACCCTGAAGCCTTCTAAAAAGCTCCTTAATCCCTGAGCTGCACACCCCAAACCCTAACCCCCTAAACCCTGAATGCCAAACCTGAACCTCAAGTCATAAACCCTCACTCTAAACCCTCAACCCTAAGTTTCAATCAGCTCCACCTCATGCTGTTACTACTAATTTACTACCCCTCTTGATGGGTCCTCAAACCCTAAACCCTAACCCTAAACATTGCATTTCTACCCTTAAACCCGACCCCCCCACACACAACTATTCCTTAAACCCTAACCTCAACCCTGAACCCTAAGTTTCAACCAGCTCCAGGCGATGGTGTTACTAATAACTCTTTTTTTTTCTTTTTTCTTTTTTTCTCTTTTTTTTTTCTTTTTTTTTCTTTTTTTTCCTTTTTTTTCCTTTTTTTTTGCCTGCCTGGTTGCTCCAATCTATTGGTGGGGGTATTACTAATTGCACCTCAGAGAGATGAGAAATGTTTACATTGCCCTTAGCCGTATTGTAATCTACTGCCGACTGCCCAGTCTATGGCCCCATCATAGGGCATGGGGTTGACGGATCAGGGGTGTGGGTTTTGGCCGAATCTGGCCTGCATTTTCGTTCTCATTCAAACACTTAAAGAGGTACGTGGCGAAGGAAATCTGCTTCAGGGGCAAGCATAGACATTTACTTTGCTGGAACACATTATACCATAAAAGGGTGCCCCACATGCACCCATCCAACCCTCACTTGGCTTTTTCGCACCCTTTCGAACTCCAACTAGCAGCTCCACGGTTCTCAAGAAACAAATCAAGGGTTCAAATCCTGGCAGATAACAAGTTCATATATAACAATTGGGGCTTCGGGGATACCTCCTTTTCATTATCAATACAATTATTTAAAAGAAGACTTTGAAAAGAAAAGGAAGGAAAATGTCGAGTGTAGTCTCTTTTTTTCTTGGAAAGAGATGCCTTTGGAAAAAATGGTCCAGAGCGAGAGACAGATTCGTTTTTTCTTTGTTTTTCTGAGCCTGACCTTTCGAGAAGCGAATTGCTTTGCTGTTCTTTTTTTTTGAGTGGGACTGACAGGTGGAGGGGTAAGGGAAGGGGTCTAATGTGGGGTTAGAAAGGAGTGACAAACTCACCCAATTATGGCAGATGCTTGGCTGAAGGAGCAGACCAGAACCAGCCACCAAAGAACCAGATGAAATCCTGAGCCTGTCATGTTGTGTGTATATGCAGCGTGGGACAACCTGCGATGCTCTCTATATCTATCTATTCGCTGGTAAGGATGTCAATCTATTTTTCATAGATAAGGATGTCGATCTATTCATAGATAAGGATGCCGATCTATTTATAGATAAGGATGCCGATCTATTTATAGATAAGGATGTCGGTCCAATCAGAACGCCAGCCAGTTCCTTTTGTGCTTTCTTGATTCCCATGATTGCCAACGAAGGTGTTTATCTGTGCTCCAACCAATCGGCCACTGAGAAGCCCAGAGTAGCTGCCCACATGATGAAGGTCGGGTTCGAACCGTTGATCTCCATCCATCCAGACACCTTCCTCCTCTGCAGCTGCAGCCACATCGTTCGGTGCAGATCGAGCTCATCTGCTGCAATTTGAAGGACTGTGTTCGGTTATTGTACATCTCATTTTCTCAGAACACCATTCTTTCAGCCACCCTTTGCCCATTGCCGCTCTTGCACCTGCACCAGCAGCCTCCATTGGAGCGCACACCCATCCAGAAGTCCAAGCCTACCACCTGTCAGAGGCAGAAAACATGCCAGTGAATCAGAAACGTTCATTCAGTGATGACAACAACAACAACAACAACCACAACAACAACAAGGACGATGATGATCATCATCATCGTTACGATGACAATGCAAAAACAAAACGAAAAAAAAAACAATGACAATGAAAGAGATAGAGGCGGCGAAGGATCAGTAGTAGGAGCACGAAGTGCATGAGGAGCACGAGGAGCAAGAGGAGCAAGAGGAGCAAGAGGAGCAAGAGGAGAGGAGTGGCAGGAGGGGCAGGAGGAGCAAGGGGAGAGGAGGGGCGGGAGGAGCAAGAGGATGAGAGCAAGAGGAGGAAGAGGAGGAAGAGGAGGAAGAGGAGGAAGAGGAGGAAGAGGAGAGAGGAGGAAGAGGAGGAAGAGGAGGAAGAGGAGGAAGAGGAGGAAGAGGAGACACAGGAGGAAGAGGAGGAAGAGGAGACACAGGAGGAAGAGGAGGAAGAGGAGGAAGAGGAGGAAGAGGAGAAAGAGGAGAAAGAGGAAGAGGAGGNGGAAAGACGGAAGAGGAGGAAGAGGAGGAAGGAGGAAGAGGAGGAATGAGGAAGAGGAGGAAGAGGAGGAAGAGGAGGAAGAGGAGGAAGAGGAGGAGGTGGAGGAGGTGGAGGTGGTGGGGAAAGAGGAGGAAGAGGAGAAAGCGGAGGAGGTGAAGGTGGTGGAGGTAGAAGACGTTAAGGGGTGGGAAGGTTGTCTACAAATGGTGAAGAGTCCCCGGTATACTTGGTTTTTCTTAACTACTGTTGTACGTTCTGAGCATGGACTCAGAGCATGCTCAGGGCGTACTCGAGACTAGCTCTATCATAATGTATCTGATGGCATTTGCAGCCGGACCTTGATGCACCTGATCCGCGATTACACCCATACAAATAAGTAAAAACGTCCTTCTGTCAGATGCCCTCACAACAAGACTTTTTATAGTGAGCTCTAGGCATAACTGCCATCAGATACATCCAGATCCAGCTGAAATTGCAACCAGATACGTCGCCATTTAAACAAAAGGGAATTCGCTAGCTGTAACTACTGTCAGAACCGTGATGTGCATTTGAATTTTTAAACCTCTTTCCTTTTTTCTGTTTATTCAACTTTATTGCTTACTCAATAAAGTTTTCTCTTTTTTCTCACTTATGAAAGGGTTTTTCTCACTTATGAAAGGGTTTTTCTCACTTATGAAAGGGGTTTTCTCACTTATGAAAGGGTTTTTCTCACTTATGAAAGGGTTTTTCACCCAGTCCGCGCATGTTTTCTTTTTTTTTTCTCACTTATGGTAGGGTTTTTCACCCAGTCCGCGCAATATTGCAGATAGCAGGAGTCAATCCCCAGACTTCCCCTAGCCCACTGCATAGTTGCCTGTCAACTCTGTGTGCTTTGAACCTGTCCCTAAGACTGTGTACAAATGTTTTGTGTGTGTAGCTTAGGTCATGTGGATTTGATCTGTAGATTAGTTGCTTAGGAGTCTTAAGGGTCGTCTGTAAGTTTCCTAAAATGGCAAATTTACAGTTGACCTTTCAGAAGGTCAATTGGCCATACGCATACGTCCTCTGAAGGGTCAGTAGGTCGTGGCTAGAACAGTGCTCAAAGATGTCCTTCGGGACATCCGTTAAAATTGGAACGATACAGAGAAGATTAGCATGGCCAAAAAAAAAAAAAAAAAAGAACAGTGCTCAAAGACCTGTGGCTCGACCTTTTGCAGGTTGAAAGGGCAATCCGTCCATCTCTGAAAGGTCAAGAGTCCCAAGTCAAACACCCAAGGGGCAAGCGAAAGGGAAGTCACAGGCCAGTCCGTTTTGCAGCACCAAATACCAGAGTGGGACTGCACATCTTGAGGGTCTGGGACATCGGGCAGGCCCTAAATAAAGAGGCAGCGATCAGTCAGTCTCTCATTATCTTGGGAACTACGCGGAAGCGCTGCTCGAGTGACTTCTGCGTTGAGTTCACCGGTCGTCAGCAAGAAGCCTGAAGGTGGAAGAGGGCGAGCGGCCATAGCCGCTAGGAGGAGGAAGACGACGGTGGCCATAGCCGCCTATGTGTAGAAGATAGAAGATAGCGTGTGAGCGTGAGTGCAGACATTCAGGGTAGATCCAAGTGTTGTGTGCGTACGTGCGAGGGAGTGTGTCTGACGGCGGATACAGTGTTCGGGTGGGAATTCCAGACTGGCGCTCAGACGCCATAGCAGCCATGAGATGTGACAAGTTGTTTTGAGCTGAGTTCCTGGCCGAAGGCCATATCTCTGAGTTGAGTTTTTTGTGTGGGCGCCCACACTGCGCCATCTCAAGTCTGTTGCTGATTCTGCATCTGTGCAAGTTTCTGCTGCCATCGCCAGCTGCATGTATGCATGTTGACTGATTGCACTTACTTGGCCCTCTTTTTTTTCTTTTTTCTTCACTTTTTGATGACCCTGGTTGCTCTTCTTTTCTTTTTTTTTTGCCTTTTTTCTCCTTCTTTTGCATTTTTTCAATTTTTTTGTCCCTTTATTGTCCTTGTCTTGTCTTTTGTTTTGGTTTGTTCCGGCCTCTTGCACTCCTCCCGGCTCCGCAAGGGGAATCTTCATTCCCCAGGAATCGCATCAACCAATACAGCAATACATACCATCAATTTGTTGCACAGATCCTCACCCAGGATGTATTACAGTCACAACTGCAATTATCATTCACAATGGGGATCTCCCGACTCTCCGACGAACTCCTGTTTCAAGTTGCTCAACTCCACAAACACTTGAAATAGGAGCATACGCACACACACACAACCAGCGACGTTCGTTCTCTCTCTCTCTCTCTCTCTCTCTCTCTCTCTCTCTCTCTCTCTCTCTCTCT